CCTGCTAGGTGCCAGGCATAGGGCCGGCTGTTTACTCCATCGCCCTGATGGTCCCGTTCCCCTTGCCTCATTTCCATGTCCTTTCGAAGTAAAAACTCTCAGACCAGCCTCTGCCCTCAACCCTGCACTCTGTTGCTTTGCTCTCAGGACAAAAAGTTGTATCAAAAATGGGGCATGTGCCGGGTGGGGGTATTATCCCCACTGCACAGACGGGAAGGCTGAGGTCTAGACAGGAGCAAAAAGCTGCCCAAGGGCACAGAGTGATAGGGAGTCCACAGCTGAGAACACTGGCCAGCCACTCACTCCACACTCCTCTGCCGCTCCTGACTCTGAAAGCTCTGGACTGCATGGGGACATGGGGGAGGGGAGACAGGGGAGGGAGGAAGAGGAGCCCCCCCACACACAGGGCATGGGAGAGCCTGCTGGGGCTGCAGGAAGATCATTAGCCAAACCTAGGGCTTGGCTCTGAGCCCCCTGTGGCTCAAGAAGCAGCTAATGAGGCTCCAAGGCCTGGAAATCTGACAGATCCCCATGGGCCTCACTTTTCCTTTCTGCACACAGCTATTGGACCTGGCAGAAGGTGGGCCACAGGCCATCCTTCTCACCCCTCTGTTGCCAGCGGGGTACCAAGCGAGAAGGATGGAATGTCCCAGAAGAAGCACTCCATGGGAATACAAACTCAACCCCCTTTCACACCACATCCGGTCAAACTGGAAATCAAGGAAGCCACCGAAGCCCCGGGGGTCACATCAGAGGATCCAGGACCAACCTGAAGTGGCTCCCACCAGCCAAAGATGGGCCGATCTGAATAGCAATAAGGATAACAACTTTATTAATACCAAATATGTTCACATCCATGTGATCACGATAATACACAAACAATTAGTCACCACTAGAGGATTGCAGGGAATCAGCTCATTTTTTTGAAACTGGCAAATTAAGGGAAAGAATGGGAGAGTTATCCTGCCGTTTCCACACAAACTACACCAGGAGGTAACCAATAGCCAATGAAGGGAGGTTTGTATCTGGAGATGAATTCCAGCTAAGAAATTAGAATATTAGACTCCCACTATTTTGCAATCACTGACAAATAATGGATTTATGCAATTATGGCTTCTAACATCACACAGGAAAAGAGACAACCAGATATCATGTGCCTCCTGAGAGAACACTGCCTATGAAGCAGCTGAGCCAAATAAAATTTGTGCCTGAAACTTATCAAGCCTCTAGAGCTATGTCCTAGCTTACAGGAAATGTAGAGTCCGGAGAACATGTTAACACCATGGAAACAAAGCCAGCAACATCTAGATACAGTAAGTCCCCTTTATCCAGGGGAGATACATTCCAAGATCCCCAGTTGGTGCCTGAACCCTATACATACATACCTATGATAAGGTTTAATTTACAAACTAGGCACAGTAAGAGACAAGCCCTGCGATTCCACGACAGTTGATCTGACAACCGAGATGGCTACTAAGTGAGTAACAGACCAGTGGCTTACACAGCCTGGAGACGCTGGACAAAGCGAAGATTCATGTCCAGGCGGGATGGGGTGGGACAGCACAAGATTTCATCACGCTACTTAGAACAGCTCGCCATTTAACACTTAGGGATTGTTTATTTCTGGAATTTTCCATTTAATATTTTCAGACCACAGTTGACCACGGGTAACTAAAACCACAGAAAGAAAACCCATGGGTGGGGGAGGGGGGCTGCTTGTAGTTGGAAACTCCACTGGACAGCGAGTTTCTTCAGCAAATACATTGCAAAGAAAAAATTAAAAGACGGAGAACCAACCAAATGCAGTGACGGGCCTTTGTTTGGATCTCAAACAAACAAACTGTGGAACACACAATTATGGCACAAGTTGGAAACCAGACTATTTACTGGGTCTTTTATATTTAGGAATTTTATAAAATTATTTAGTTGTGTTACGGTTAGGGTTTTTCGTTTTGTTTTGAGTGAGTCCTTATCGTTCAGAAATGCATCCAAAAATAGTTCGATGAATGATATGCTGCCTGGGGGCAGGGAGTGGAGAAGAGATTGACCACAAGTTGACGATTGTTGAAGTGAAGGGATGGGTACAAGTCAGCTCACTAGGCCACCTCTGTCTTCTCGTGTTGTCTACACTTGAAATGCCCCATCACCAGGGACACTGGCTCCCTGGCCCAGCATTGGAAGCCCTGTGGGCTGGTTCTAACTCTCAGCCTCAGCCCTGAACACGCCTCCCTCAGGCTCCACAGGAATCTACACCCTGTGATGCTTTAGGCCACCTCTGCAGGCACCCACCCTGTTCCTTGTCCCTCAGGGAGTTGCTAAGCAGCAGCTTGCAGGGCCTTCCTGACCCACACTCCCCTTGGGCACCACTGGGCAGCTCCTCCTTCCAGCTCTTTCCCTGTGCACTGAGCAGAGGAAACTCCTGGAGGGCAGAACCATGTCTCACTCAGGCCCAGATCTCCAGCACCCAGCAGAGGGCTTGGCCCAGCTCCACAGCTGGCTCTCTCTGGGAGGACAACCCCCAAGCGCTGGCCGTGAGGCCTGGCTGACTGGTGACCTTGCACATGACTACTGGACACATGGCAGGGACTGGAGTTTTGACTTGGCCACCTCTCTAAGCCTCAATGTCTGCATCCACCTCCAGGACTGTTGTGAGAACGTGAGGGGTCATACCTCCTGGGGTATGGAGTGTGTGGTGCTCTCACACAGCAAGTCACAAACCTCGGAGTTGGAAGGGAGCTAAGGTGACCTGATCAATCTCCCTTCTGAGAAGAGAAAGGAAAACCTCAACAGCCCCCAGTGCAGATGGGAAAAGTGAGGCCTGAGGGGTCGAGGCGCTTACTTAGGCTGACCAGGTAGCGAGGGAAGGACTGTGTGAAATTTGGGAGGCCCCCTCACACCCAGGGAACCGGTAACTGACACTCACTGCAGAATCACCCTGAAACCTCTAGGCCCCACTTAATGGGCTCACCACAGCACTCCCTGGCACCTCCCAGCATCTGGAGGTCTCCTAGGATCTTCTCCAGGGGATTCCCACGTAGACCCAAGTGGCTGGGCTCAAATCCTGCTGGTGCAGGGGCTGACCCAGGTTCTGCCCAGGTTTGCGACAGAGAGGAGAGACGAAGAGGGTCAGGGCCCAGGGAGGGCTGCACTACTCAGGACCCATGTGCATGTGGGCAAGTGCACACGAGTGTGCAATTCAGTGAATGTCAGCCTAGAAGTGTATTTTCCCAAGCATGTATGTGTGTGCACGCATGTGAACGCCAGTGTGTGTGTGTGTGATTATGTGTGTGCAGGCACAGCAAAGAGTGGGCGCTTCTCACCGATTTCTGCCTGGGACCCCAGAGAGGGCCAGCATGAAACATTTCTGAACAAGGCCACAGGGGCTGTGGGCTGAGTGGCTGCAGGTGATGGGGTTTCCTGTGTTATCCGAGTTGGGTGAGGTGAGCCACAGGCCTCTTGGAGTCCTCAAAACTAGAGGGTCCTTGGTTCTGAGCATCTAAAGTTCCTCAGTTCTCAGCTTCTGATTCCAAGAGTCTCCCGAGTTTCAGTGGCCATGACTGGAAGAGGCCAGGAAGACTGGGTGTCACTCCGGGCCTCCTCTGGAGAGCAGGACACTGACACACCTGCAGGAGGCCCTGGGGATTCCTGTTCACAGGGCAAGGAATGAGCTAAGTCAGGTGCTAAGACCTAGGCGGAAACCCCAGCCTTGGGGCAAGCCCCTTCCCTCTGGGCTCCCCAACTATACCGTGAGGGCTAAAAGTACCCTCAGCTGGACCTCCTGAGCCTGGTGTAGAGAGAAAAGAGAGAGAATCTATTGACCATGACCAGTTTCTCTGACCACAGAGCCAGGCCTGACTCCTGCCGGCCCTCCCACAAGCACAGAGCTGCTGTGTTGCCTCAAGCAACTCACTTCACCTCTCTGAACCCTGGCTCCTCCTCGGTAAATAGGTTCTCCTAACACCCTCCTCTCAGAATCACTGCGAAAAGTGAGACCATGTGTCTACAGTGACTGGGAGAGTAACAATGAGCAAACCGAGTCAGTGCCCATGAGTCAGCTTGTGAAGCTCAGCGCTTTACTGGCATCAACTCAGTTCATCCTCACAGTGACCCTGTGAGGGAGGCACCAGTATTAGCTCCACTGACAGGTGAGGAAAGAGGCTCAGAGAGGTTGCCCAGGGTCACACAGGTGGTTGTTGGTGGCTGAGCAGGGCCGGGTCCCTCATCACTACACACACTGCCTCAGTGGGAGGCAGAAGCTCAGGAAGTGGCAGGTATCTTTATGGTTTCTTGTGGTTTCCATGGAAAATGGGTCATTTCACATTCCCTGGCTCCTCCTGACCCAGTCCAGGGAGTGGAACCAGGCCTCTCCCGCTGTCCGGGGGTGGGAAGGAGGAGGGTGGGGATGTGAGATCTGACTGGGGGAGCATTTCAGAGCTGGGGTTGTTCCCAAGCAAAACTCCAAGTGTGGCCTCTGACCTTGGTCCCTGGGAAGAAGCTGCCTCTCTTGGGCCTGGGACCATAGGTGGGGTGGGGGCATCACCCCTGCCCATCCCAGGGGACCAGTGTCATGTGGGCAAAGGTCCACAGACTCAGAGCCTGGTCCACACACACCCCCTCTGGCCCTTCCACACCCTCTGTGACTGTGGATGGGCCACCTCTTCCTCTGTTACCTCTGTATAAAAACCTGAGTGAGCTAGAGAGAAATGACAGGGGACAGAGCTCTGAAGGGTCAAGTGGGGCACTACAGTGCTATGGCGATACAGTCTTATCTGTCGGAAGGAAAGGGCTGGAAAAGACTTCAAAGGTCCAGGTTATTCCCTCTAGAAAGTGAAGCTGGGACAGGGTCAGAGGCTGCCTGAGGACAGGCAGCAAATCGGTGACAGAGGCCGGAAGAAACCTGGGAGCAGGCCTGACCCTGCTGCACCCCTCGGCTACCCCCTGTCCCAGCTCCCCCTGCCCAGCCACCCTGGAAAGTTGAGCATGGTTTGGTGTGTCCTCACCCATGCCCTCTGGGCCCCACCTGCCGAGGACTAAATGGCACCTCTCTGTGGCCTCAGCACAGCTCTCTTCATGCCCCTACAGAGGCTGGTCTGGGGGCCACTGCAGAAAAAGCTGTAAGGGGTACTGGTTCCTGGTTGGGTTTCAGGAAACCTGGTTCTAAACGCCATCTTGCTGTGTGACCTTGGGCCAGTCACCTGGCTGCTCTGGGCCTCATCCCTGAAAGCGGCAGGGAAAGGGATTGAGAGTATGGGGGAAAGCCAGGGGAGCGGGTGCTCAGGGCTAAGTCAGAGCTCCTGAAAGGGAGGGGGTGGCTCATGGCGAGAGACTGTACACCATGGAGGCGTGAGCACACAGACTTTATTGGGGCCACATAGCGGGCACAGCAGAGGCACTCACACACCCACACAGGGAGGATGTGGTGGGGCAGGGAGGGGTACAGGCAATCAGCACTAAGAGGATCCCCAGAGCTGCAAGCAGGGGTCAAGCAAAGAAGCAGAAGGGCAGGGACATCCCCAGGGGATTTAGCCTTCCCCAGTGGTCAGTAGAGAAACAAGGCGGGCAAGCCAGGACGTTAAGCACGTCCCGGAACAAGCCAGAGCTGCGAGTTAGAGGGCCATAGGTCACACCACAGCCAATCTCCCACCCAAAGAATCCAGGCTCCCACACCCAAGCCTGCTTACACACCTAAGCGGGGGCCCGCCCTCCCAGCAGCCTCGGCCAGTGGGAACGGCTCTGACCCTCCATCTCTCAGTGCATCTGTTCTCAGGGTCCTGAGCTTGCCCCCTCACCCCCATCCCCACCCCACCCCACCCTATGTCATGGGCCGGTCCCTGACAAAAACCAGGGCTGGTCTTGAGACAGGGTGTTGCAGGTACTTCCTGAGGTGCCCTCAGCTGATGCCAGGCAGGTCGGGCCACTCCCTCAAATGGGGCTCACTGGGCCTGTGCAGTGTGAAGGGGAGTGAGGCTTGGGGGCAGGAACTGAATCTGCTGATCATCGTGTCTCAGTTTCCCTGTTTGGTGAGTGGGTTGTGCCCAGTGACCTCTGAGACCCGTGTTCTATCGTCATAGCACACTGCCACCTCCAGCCTACTTCTGACCATCAGCCATCACAATTGCCCTACCAGGCCATCCCACCCCACCCCTCAGCTCCACTAAAGATGCCAGGGTTGCCACACTAGATGAAACAATCACCTTCCCTGACCAGTGAGCTGGAAAAAGCCTGAAGTCCCAGAGGGGGACACCTGAGTCCCCAGAGAACCTACTGTCCCAGCTCCAAGGCTCTGGACCCCTCCATCCAGGTTCCCCCAAGCAGAAGGAAACCCCTTCACTATATTGTTTCTATTTCACTATATGAACTTGAGTCTCCCAGCTCAGGAAGTCTCCCTCACCAAGGTCATCCTGATCAAGCCCCTGCTAAAGGCCACCTGTGAACCCGCTGGGCAAATATGTAATAGATAATCTAAAATCAGACTTGTGCATAGGGCAGGTATAAACTCTATATCCATATGAATATAGCATGCTCTCTCTCAATATATATGTATATGTATAGATAGATACATCTCTATATGACTTATTTATGTCCCCCTTCATTTTTCCCATTCTGAAGTCATTCTCAGGAGAGTGAGAGCTGGCCTGCACAGCCTCCAGCATGCCAGCCACTCCCCACTGCCCAAACCAACCCCCACAGCCACCCTGTCCGATGTCCTGAGGGCCCCTGAGGCATCGTGGGCCCATGCCAGGCCCATGCTAGGAGCGGTGCTTTCCTGGGTCCTCAGGCTGGGCGTTCACCTCTGGACAAAGGGCGCTGTAGCCGGGAGGGTAGCAAATGCCTGTTTGCTGGATTCCCCAAGGAGGCTGCTCTGCCGTCTCCATCTCCAGAGGCTGTTTCTTTGGATCTCACCCCATCTCACTTGTGTCTCTGTCTGTCTCTCTCTTGGTCTCCTTCAGTCTCTCTCTCCAACGAGGAGGCAGAGAGCAGGCAGGCATCCCTGGCCCCTCCATCGTCCCACACTAGCCCCGACCAGGCCTCCGTGGTCTACAGCAGGAGCAGAGGCAGCCGGGCAGCTAGTTCAGCTTCTAGACTCCAGAGCCTTGGTATCTTCCTCCGTGAGCAGGAGCACCAGGGGAAGGAGAGAGAAAGGATGCGGGCACAGGAGTCCCGGCGAAGCTGAGTACAGGCCAGCAGCTAGAAAAATGTCCCCAAATATGCACAGGCAGGGGCAGGGCAGGAGGGTGAAAGGAGAGGGCAGCAGCCAGCAGCTGCTGTCAGAGCTGGTTAAAGACCACGGAGGCCTTGAGGTTGGCGGGCTCCACGCCCTCGCCGAAGGTGATGAGGAAGTACATGACCTTGCGGACTTTGGCCAGCTCCGACAGGCGCTCCCCGAACTCGAGGGCGTCGGCCTCGTTCCAGTCCATGGCGTCTGAATCCTCCTTGCGCCAGAAGATGGCAGCGGGGTCCAGCAGCTGGCGGGTCATGAGGTTGGTGAGGTCAGGCGTCCAGTTCTGGGAGGTGCCCGTGATGGTGACCTTGCCCGGCTGGTCCAGCACGACGTCCCAGCGCTCAAACTGCAGCTTCTGCTGCTGGATGAAGTCGAGGCGGTACACGGACTCGGCCGGCCGCAGCAGCTTCTCGCCGTCCTGGCGCTTCAGCCCACGCTGCTTCAGGCTCTCCACACGCAGCCGCATCTGCTTGGTCAGGTCCTCGTCCAGGACCAGCGGCATGCTGAGCTGCGGCTGCTTTGGCCCATCCTCTGCCATGGCCCAGTTGCTGCTGCTGCTGCCGCCTCTCTCTGCCTCTGTCTAGGAGCCGAGTGGGCTGGAGCCTCGTAGCCAAGGCAAGAGGCCACCAAAGAGAGGCCCCGCCTACCCTGATGCTCTCCCGTCGTCCTCTCCCCCCTTGGCCCCTGGCCCTTCCCAGCCCTACCCAGTCCTCAAAATGGGGTGTGTATGAGGGTGGGAGTCCCCAAATGCCTCCTCTTCACTCCTGCAGAAGCGCTAATGGAGGCACTGCAGGCAGGCAGGAGGGTGACAGGCTCCTCTGGGACCAGGCTGCTGATGCTAATTGCTGTGGCAACCGCCCTGACTACCACCTCCATGGATGGGCTGGGAGCTGGCTTGTTTGTGAAGAAGAGAGCACTGTATCCAGGCAGTAAGAGGGGGATGAGGCTGGGGGCAGGAGTAAGGAGAGCCTGGAAGACTCCCTGGCAGGAGGGTTTGGGGGCACAAGGACCAGAGGCGCCCGCTGATTTGAGATTTGACGTCACCCAAGCCAAACCTTGGAGCCATCCTTGAATCAGCCGCCCTATGACCCCTCCACACCCAGTCACTAAGGCCTGTCGATTCTGCTTCCCAGACACCCTGAGAACCCCCCATCCCCTCCCTGGTCCCACTCCCCACAATCCCCACTGCCAGGGCCCCAGCCCAGCCACCATCGTCCTTACCTAGACTCGTGTTCTCAAACTTTAGTGAGCCTGAGGCTCACCAGCAGGACTTGGAACAGACTCCTGGACACCACCCCCAGAGTATCTGATTGAAGAGGTCTCTGATGAGGCCTGTGGAACTGTTTTTCTCCCAGGTGATGCTGTTGGTCCAGGGACTGTGCTTGGAGAATCACTGACCTAGAGATGATTCCTATCTGCTGGCTCTGCCTCAGCCCTGCATCTCATGGCAGCCACAAGCCCAGGTTTCTCTCCTTACTAAAACACCACCTCTTATTCCACCTGTATTGATCCTCAGTTTCCCCCGGGAGACTTGAGGCTGTGGAAGCATCTGACAAACGTCTATATCCCCAGTACCTGAGGCAGAACCAGGAGCTCAGCTATTATATGTGGGCAAATGGAAAAACTGGAGTATGTGAGTGTAGTTGGGGGTGGGAGAGAGGGGAAGCTGCCATGACATGCTACACACAAACAGATAAGAGGACAGCGGCCTGGGCCACAGTGTAACACCTGAAAACAATCTGAAGGGCCTAGTGGACCACAAGCACATTCATTTGCTAGATGGAGGCTAAGTAAGTTAGTGGGATCTTGGACTACTTGAACAGCAGGGGGGCATAGAAGGGGACAGAGCAGCTGGTCCTGTCAAGCCCTGGGGTCAGCTCTGGGGGTTCCTGGCACCAATTCCCCAAGAGCATTCGAGAGTACCATAGAATAGACATGTGAAACTGCCTGACCCTCAAAACTTTTATTTTGTAGCTGGAGGGACAGAAGAGAGGGGAACAACATGGCTGAGGAGTTACTGTTGGGGGAGCTTCTCTTTCTTTCCTAAGGAGGAGCTGTTTCTTTCCTTCCCAGTGCCACATTTTGCTTTTTATTTGTACATTTGCTAGTTGTTGTCTGTGATGTCTCCCCACTTAGACCATAAGCCCTGAGAGGGTAGGGACCATGTCTGTCTTGTTCATCACTTTAAGCCAGCACCTAGAACAGGGCCAGCCACACAGGAGGCCCTCAGAAAATACAGAAAGAAAGAAAGAAAGAAAGAAAGAAAGAAAGAAAGAAAGAAAGAAAGAAAGGAAGGAAGGAAGGAAGGAAGGAAGGAAGGAAGGAAGGAAGG